CTTTGAGGTTAATTAAGCAGCTGACAGCAACTATGAAAATGCAGTACAGAAACATGAGGAGAAATCCACTCCACTTAGATGTGAAAAGTTACCAAGGTATTTTGAGCTGAGCTTGCAGGAGCATGGTTAGTGAAATACGTGACTGATCAGAGATTGATCTTGCTGCATCAGAAGGTTTGCATCCATACAGAGATTGGATTATGACTGCAAAGTGTATTGAAGAGCTCAGACATAGACCACAGGATGGTGCAAGAAGTAATTATTGCCAAAATACCTAGAAATGTGAAGAAAAGGAAGTGCTTGGCCCTGAGTATATCTGACAATGAGGACAGCGCTTGACATTGCAGGCATCGCTGAACTCAAGAGATCAGCCAGGGTTCATGCAACAGCCAGACCCACGGCTTGGCTGAGACTGAGAAAGCAAGTGAAGCAATTCGCTCTGCAGCTCCCATTGCCAGGCAGGGGCAACTATTCCCTTCCRAGGCCCTGGACAGATCCTGGAGTGGCTGCCAAAAATAATATATCGAGGAATATATTGGAAAGCTGTTCGGGGAGGGTAGAAAGACTGGAACCACCGAGTGCCGCAGTGCTGAGGGAGCCAGAGGGAGCTGCGCAGTGCCAGGAACACCGGTCAATCTTGTGCCAGGGGAGAAACGGCATCTGAAGCAAAGTGGRCCCAAGATAGTCAAAACAGGCAACCTGCCTAGGCTCACGGCCCACGCCCTCCCTGCACAAGGAGCCTCTGAGGAGCAGCGCCGGGATGCTGGGCAGAGCACGAGCAGCGGCATCGCAGGAGCTGCAAGCGGACCTGCCCGCAAGCGCRGGCTCCCGGCGCCGTGCGGCGAGCGGCTGCTGCTCTTAGTGCTTGTCTGCAGGCCAACGGTCATTAAACCCTCATTTGGAAAAGCTAAGGCTGTCTTGCACTAGCTTTCTCTTGTGCTCAAGTGACGGACAGATGTTTTGCCATCCTCTTTTCTGGCTAGAGGACTCCTGGTTCAACACTACCCATTGGRACACGAGCGCAGAGAAGTCCCGTCCAAAAGGGGAGCACAGAAAAGTATAAACAAGACACAGATCTAAACTTACTTGTGGCATGCACGGAGAGAAAAAAAAGTCCAAACAAGCCAGAAGTGGGTAAAGGATGGAGAACAAAAGGTGACCAAAGAGGAATCTCAGGAGAGGAATCCACCTCTTACAAGCACAGCTGAGGTGGAAAATGAGAGAGGCTGTGGAGTCTCCCACCTTRGAGATATTCAAATCTGGGACCTGGATGGGGTCCTGGATAATGTGCTCTAGGTGACCCTGCTTGAGCAGATGATCTCCAGAGGCCGCTTGCAACCTCAACCGTTCTGTGGCTCTGTGAAAACATTGGACATTGCAAGCAAAGCACAAGAATCTGGCAACAGGTCCTCTGCTCTGTGTGCTTCCAGCAGCAACAGGAAAAGTGAAACCCGCTCGCTTAGGATGGCAGCTTGCCTGATCTCCCAGATTCRCGATGCCTTCCTCAAAGCCATCATGATGCTCACAAGGAGATTAACAGCAGAGCACAAAATACTACAGGCACTCTGACAAACAGGGGCTGGAATCCCCCAGAGAAACAATAACTACCTGAYAGGAATTGCATGTTCCCTCCTCCTCCTCACACCTCCAACAGCAGCATGACTACAGTCTTGCTCAGCTAATGCACAAGCTGCCACGGCCAATTGCTCGGTACAAAGCGAATGTGCCACGGGAAAAGAAATACCTGGAGAGAAAGATCTGCAATCTCCACCACCATTTAAAAAAACATGATGATCAAACATCTGTTGGGCTTCAATTAAGTTAAAGTGAAGCAAATGAATGGACTAGATATTGAGGTCCGATTTGACTTTTTCAGCGTTCTAAGGACAGGGGTAGGAACTGGAAATGAATCTTTCCCATCTTCCCAAAAGGCTGATTCTCTCATTTGCACAAACCTGGAAAACATGGAACAACACAGCTTTGCATACATCAGGGAAAAGAGCACATTCTCCTGTTGCAGAATCTCCTCACAACTGTTTTGAAAGATGATTTTTAAATATATAAGAAAGTGTGAATATATTATAGTCTGTTATTYCAATGCTTACTGATTTTCTTCATTACTTTAGAGTAGAATCTTAACAGATGAGTGAGAAAGGAGAGCACAGCACTAGAATTCATCGAGAAACCTGCTTGGACCAAAGCAGGAACCTGTTCAAACTCAAATTAATGAGATATATTACCTAAATCAATCAGTAAATAAATAAATAAATAAAAGCAATAGCTCCACTGAAAAGGGTATACAGACACTTTTTTTCCAGTTATGTAATGAAATGTGTCTTTGCTGAGATCAGTTACACTCTGATTTGCACTGAAACATTGACATTAGCTTTAGAGAACACAGGCTGCATCTTATCACAATGAATGGAAAGGCAGCTTGGGGTGAAGGCAAAGCAGCCGGTTCCTTCACCTCCCTGCCAGCACAAAGATCTTCAGAGAGCTTTCAGCTGGTATTGCAGCTCACGCTTACAATTTTAAYAGTGACTTTTAATAGCAACCACATAAGCACCGGAGTGTAGCTGGAGAGCCTTCCTCCTTCCCTACGCCCTGTGTCATGCCAAGACAAAGCTCTGCAGGACGTGCGTGCCCACCACGGCTGCTGCTCCCCAAACCTCCYAGCTCCAGGTCACACAAACCGACACCAAAGAGCTGCGAGTAGCAGCGCGGGGCTTTTCCTCAGGGAAAAGCAGTGCAGAGCATCCACCGGGATTAAGGTATTGCCCAGAAAGAGGGTCCTAACCTCTTTTTTTTTTTCTGTTTTACTTACCAAGGAATCTGAGGTGGGACATGCCCAAAACAAAATGCTCCTGTTTGAAGTTGTCACAGCCTGAGTCTTCCTCAGCTGACAGCGAAATCCATTCCCAGGGTCTCCCTCTCAGGAAACAGAAATGTGACATCTCTGAACAGAAACGTGACTTCTCTGAACAAAGCCATGCAGTCCCCACACTCACACATATGACTAATTTCTTGGTTTTCCATCTCTGCTGCATCTACTCTGGAATTGCTAATGGCTGCTGTTTGGCATCATTCAAGCACTGCCAAGCGCCTGTAGCCTTTTCTCCCACCAAGCCAACATTTCTGCAATTACCCTTTGCTTGCATAGTTTAATGGGAAGCCTGGAAGGTCCTTGGGACCTGCAACTGGTGGCTGCAGCCACGCAGAGCACGTCACTAGCAAGGCAGTGGCAGCCACCTCCGAGGGCTGCCTGTGKGCAAGTCCAGCTGGAGCTCACAAAATGCCCCAGCTGCCTGCCCTGAAGGAAGGAGCAGAGGCCGCCCAAGAGAAGCCATCGTGTTGCTGCAGCTGCAGTGGAGAGACCTCAGAGTGCTGGGGACAGAGGGACTGGCACGGCCAGAGCCGCTCAGGTGCCCTGCAGGGCCTGGGTCTGCTGGAGGCTCCTTCAGCCCACCCAGCTCCCATCCATTGGCAGCTCGCAGCATCTCCAAGCCCAGCACCAGCTGCAGGTGCGCCTTCCCATGGGAACGGATCCAGCTCCTGCAAGCCCAGTGCCACTGCTGCCCCAAGCCTTTGTGCACTCACAGCTCCTGTCCCTCTCCTACCTGTCCCTTCTCCTGGTGAGTTTTACTGCACAGGCATCATAGCCCTCCAGCATATTCCCTAGGGACACGCATCCACTGGGAAAATCCTTGCATGTCTCCAAGTCTCCACGAAGATCACTCGCTTCCCTTCTGTCTGTTCCTGCCTAATGGCTCGTACTTAATCTGTGAGCAGGAAGGCTCATGCGCAACCTCCAATCCAACTGGCCAGGCCTCCTGGCAAGGGCACAGGCCCTGCACCAAATGCCAGTCCGCATGAAAAGATTAGTGACATTTCCATATATCTGCCTGCGTATGGAAATCAGTTAGTTAAAAGGGCATATGCAAAGAACATTTGCTGAGAGTTTCCCCCAAGACATCTTTCACAAGCATTAGACACTTTGTTCTGTCAAGCCAAGGAGGCTGCGAGTATGAAGGAGAAAAATTGCTAACAAGGTCTTGCTTTGGAAGMGCACTTCTTTGATTATATACTTTTTAATTATTTTTATTTTTAAATCCCCCTTCCTGAGTTTTCTTTCAATAAMCTTATGACTTTCTGTAAGATTTAAACCCAATAATAATCAGAGTTTTAACTAGCAAAAGCAGCGTCAGCGAGCAAACCCTATCACATCTCAGGGTAACCTTAAGAGACAGCCCACAGATTCTGCCACATAAGTGCCCTGGACAATGACCACAAATGGCGAGTCTGAATCCACTCTCTATTAGCGCCTGTTCTCCACAGAACCATCTTAAGGAAATAGGTATTTTGTTACTTTATTGACTAAAAGAATATTCTCTCTCCTCATAATTCAATCCTGAAAAGCGCTTTGGAGACATGACATTCAGCTGCTAGTGCCCAACACGACTGAAACATCCTGAAGGAAATGCTGTATTATTATGTAATATTCAGCAGCTAGGACACAAATTATGATATATAAAAAAAAAACATAAATTCCAAAGCCAAATATAATATAAAGGCCAAATACAATATAAAAAACACACCGTTTCATACTGATTCAGCTACATATTGAACACCTGAGAGAGTCAGTGTCTGTGAAACGCAATGGCCTCATTAAAGACCCCCCACCCAGGCAAGCCTCAGCGCTCTTATTTCAGCACCGTGTTCTCGTCTCTGCAGCCATAATGCCCAAGACAGTCACGTCACGTCACAAAGCATCAGCGAAGACCTGAGTCGGGCACAGGGAGCATCATCCAGCTCAAGCGCAGGGATACCGCACTCTGCTTCACCGGCCACACGCACACATGCTGGCAGCTTCTTCCATCAAAAAGGAGGTGGAGGTAGAGACAGGTGAGCAAAAATCCCCTTTAATTAGTTGCCAGGTACATTCAAGCTGCCCTAATGATCTAGGAATTACAAAACATCTCAAGGAGGGACAAAACCAGGAGTCCAGGTCTTCCAGCGAAGGCTCGGACAAGATCCAAATGGCAAGAAGGGGCTGAGCCAACAACAAACCAGGGGGGAGCGGGATGTTTAACATGGCTGCAACCCTCCTTCTCACACTCCTAGCAAAGAGGAAAAGTGTAGGGGAAGGGAGAACAACCCCCGCTTCAGATTCTGCCCTTGAGTTCTAATTTTACGGACATATTCAGGTCTGCATGATCTCAGCCAGAGGTTTTCCTTCCTACCCCTTATGCTGGGGGTGGAGAAGAACACATGAAAACATGACTCATGTACAAATCAGTGCAGCGCTGCCAGTCTGCAGCTACCCTCACACCTCTGAACTTGAGAGGAACAAAAACAGGGGAAAAAAAGGAGACTGAGAAAAGAACAGGAGAAGAAACAGAGCCAAACTAGACAAACACTTCCCCAGGAAGCAACACAGCCTACTGCAATCAGAAATGGAACAATGAACAGAGATAGCTCAAAGTTCAGTTGCTGTGCAAATGTTACAATCTGCTTTGGCTCTTTGCAAATCACACAGGTGAAGTTCTGCTATAATGTGAGGGGAATGTGTGTTCTTCAGTGGCATCCTCAAACAAAGGTTCCTTCTACTGATAACTGCAGAGATGCAAGAACCCAGGAGCTTCACGGGAACATACAGGGGAATACAGAATTTAACTGTTTTCCCAAGYTGTGAATTAGGCTGTGTATCATTCCTTTGTTTTCATTTCATACATTACAGAGTGACAAAGAGTTCTCTAGAAATGAGTCAGTCTTAAGGAAAAGGTGGACAGATTGATTTTACTGATGACTGAGCTGCACCTGATAACCATTCTCAGTTATCTAACCATGCTGATAACCATTCTCAGTTATCAACTCATTCCATTAAGCTGTAAACAGCATTCATCTCTTGACCTTCAAAATCACTCTCTTCTTTAAGAAGAAAAGCAAATTTTCCAAGTCAGTGTAGACTTGAGACTTTTATAATAATTTGCTATTCAATATTTGAAAAGGTGTTAGGTTCAGAGGTGCAATTTTGGTGCTTTAGTTTGTCCAACAGAAGTGTCAACAATGATCTGTGCCATTATGGAATGGCAACAAAATGCCTTGAAATGATGGAGACGCAAATCCATGGAAACGCAAAGATACTGGAGATGTGTTGCAGACTCCTAGGGAAGCAGCAAAGGAAGGGCTGGAAATCCTCCAGGCAGAGCCCCGTGCCTCCTCTCGCCCTTCACGAGCAGGGAGAAGACGCTGGGCGCTCACAGGCTGGAGGCAGCCGAGGGGGCGGTCCCGGTTCCCGGCGCTGGTGCCAAGCGGCGGCCGCGGTGCCCATGAGGTCCTGGGACAGGCTCCCGCGCGCCTCCTGCATCCGGCGCCGCGCTCTCTGGAAGGCCTCTGCAGGAGGCAAGGCACAGGGCATCAGCACGCAGGGAACCAAGGCAGCCTCAGGGAAGGGCGGGCATGAGGCTGTCCAAGGAACATCCTCGTGCCAAGAACAGGCATCTCACTTCCTASAACTAACTCCCACCAACAAAGCACCCGCTTCTTGCTGCTTTCTTTCATCTCCTTCTAGCACTGCGCTTCCTCCGAGCGCAACAGAAYGAGCGACGGAGCCACGTGCCAGGCGAAGGGGGCAGCTCAGCCAAGGCGCTGCCCTCACAGAGGACTTCTCCTCCCCGTGTGGACAGCTGATGCCTCCTGAAGTCTCCAGCAATTTCAGACCAGAACATTAAACCTCTGCTGTGGTAGTCTGGCACTCCAGAAGCTCAAAGGGGGTGATTACACCCCCCAGCAATGGACTCTCCTGAGAGCCCCTGCCCACTCTGCCAAAAGGCAAAAGGGAGCCCCAGTGCCAGTCAGATCCCAGGCCTACCCAAAACGCTGTAGACAGAACTCTGCTGACTGAGGCCTCCAAGCCGGTCCAGCACACTCTGCATGCGCTGTCTCAGGGCGCTGGTTTCCAGAAAAGCTCTGCAGAGAGGTACAAGGTCAGGGCTGGCACAGCAGAGCAGAGCAGACGGAGCTCACACTCCCTCTGCAGCACTTACTTGGACTGCTGCAGGCAGTGAAGCCGGAAGGTGACGCTCCCTGTGGTCTTTGTGCGAAAGCCAAGGCGGCTCAGACGCTCTCCCTGCACAGAAAGCCCGAGTTAGAACCACCAGCTCAGCCCTAGCAACCACCTACCTCACCTGCTGCAAAGGGTATCAACATGTGGGAGCACCGAGTCTCTCCGAGATAATTCTGGGCTACACTGAGGGCAGGAGAAAAGTTTTAGCTGTTGCTTCAGGGCTTATTCCCACTCAAAACTGCTACTAAGATCAGCTTTTCTGTTATACCCGCAAGCACCTCGGAAGCTTTCCTGAGCACATGGAATTTTTCTCTGCCCAACATTCCTGTCAGCTTCTTGCTTCGGTGAGATTCTCCAAGCTGAGTACTGCTCAGGTTCCTTACAAACACACACAAAGACTAGAGCCAGCAAGAGCTGCTAACCCGAGGGATGCTTTCCAGAGAGGGCCAGCACAAGCAGGGGCAAGGCAAGGCAAGCTCCAGTAGCTGTGCACTCACTTCTCTGCACTGCAGACACCCCAGAGGGCAGAGAGCTCTACAGCAGTTTGTCCCCATCCCTGTCCGTGCTCATTAGTGCCACACAGGATCCACTCCTTTGTCACAGGAATGGGACCATCAGCTCATCCTTGCTCGAATCTGGTCAAAACTGCTGACAAGTGTGAACTTGAGAGCAGAATCTAACATTTCCCAACAAAAGCAGCATCCTGCAGCTGAACCCACCTTGAAGGCTGTGGGTGTCCTGACGTAGGTTAAGTCCTCCAACTCAGGAGATCCACCAATGAAAAATCTTCTCAGCTCCGAGACTGTCCCCAACTCCACAGGGCGCCAGGTGGGGATGGTCAACGTGTGCAGTCCTGATCAGGGATGACAGGCCAGTTTAGTGTCTGTGGGAAGTTAATTCACTCAGAGTAACAGAGGACAGCACAGTAGATGGATCCCGTGGCACTTATCCATGCCATGACAGGCTGAAAATGGAAACATTCCATGGTATATCATCTATATGTCTTCCCAGCAACTCAACCCCAGGCAGCCAGAGGCACTGAAACTTCCCCATGCTCATGAGGAGCATTTTACTGCATCAGGATGCCTGCTGTGACCCTCAGATTCCAAGCTGGACAGAGAAGGATTGCCACCATTGAAGAGGTGGATGTGCCGTACCACTCCAGGGCTTTACAGCACAAGACTTTCAGGCAGAGCCACTGGACCAACACACGATGCTCCTCAACAACCAAAATGGTTCAGGATGCACCMGATCCCTCTTTGATGCCTCATGGGGAGCTTACTATTCCCTTCAGCATGCACAGGAAAAGCCTGCCCGGGACAAGCTGAGCTCCCCCAGGAGAACCACTCAACTCTCATTCCTTTTCATTCCCCTAACCACTTAACATCCCACCTCCAAATACATTTTACCTGGAGAGCTGGGCAGCACTAAAGAGCCGTATCCTTCAACACGATACCTCTGCCAAAAATCCACGGATAGAACCTCAAAATAAAGGACGGGCCACTGAGGGAAAGAGTCTGCGAGGAAGGGGAGCAGATGACAGTTGTGTAAAAGCTGCAAATGGAGACCAAGTTTGCTAAGCACTAGCAAGAAGTCCTGTCTGTATTTCTTCTTGAATGACAAACCTAGACATATGGGTGATTATCTTTCCCTGTAAGATCTGGCAGACTTCAGGATGAAAAGGGAAATATTGGTAAGAGTCTAAAAATTTTGGATTAATTTTTTGTTTTGATGAGTCTCCRAGAACAAGTCCAAACTGGTTGCTCAATGGGCCTTTTGCAGACAGAGCAATCTTTTTTGAACAACRCAATGCAAAGCAAGGGAGCTTTTCTATCACTAACAAATACCTGTTTCACAGTTACTAGAGTGTTACTAACTTGTGTTCTCCTACAAGTTTTCGAGCATTTCTTCTCTCCACGGTGTAATAACACATTTATTCTAGGCTGAAAGTGCATTAGTGTTGCTGTATACTCTAATCCAATGTATACACTACACTGAAGTGGCAAGGCATGATGTGAAGCTGTTCCTAGTGACAACAATTCAAAAAGCAATGGGCTTGGTGACAAAGAAAGAGCAACATAAGGACAAGATAGAAAAAGGCAGCAGGCAAGCTCAGCTTAAAATAGAGCCATGAGTTTCAAGATGACTATATATAAACTATACAAACTATACAGATTATACAGGCCATTTAGCGCGATTACAAACATAAAACTCAGCTCAGGATAAAACTGAGCATGGCCTGCAAACAGGGAAACACACTGCTCCATGCAAATACTGCCACACTGCTGGGCAGGGGACATTTGCGACTTGTGCAAAGCTTTTATGGCAGTAGGGTGGCCACGTGCTGAACATGCAACATCTTCCTTTATTTACACCAGTGCACATGGCATGATGCCGACCTACACTGCAACCAGGAGCTTTCAGAGCTTCACCTTCCGACCAGCAAGGAAACGCACCTTCTGATTCATCTTCTTGGCTGAAGAACATCTCCAAAGTGAAGAGGTAGCAGAAATATGCCACATTATCCTGGAAAATAGGAACAGAGATAAGATTCCTGGGCAAGGGTAGAATCCATCATTAGTACTACAACAAATACATAGAAAGCAGGGAGAAAAGAACTAAAGGGGAGAAGAAGCAGTGATGCCCTAGATGAGATCAATCACAACACGCTAACGCAGCACGTGGCTGCATGGGGGACCTACACACAATTCCCAGTGCCATGCAGATGAAAGAGGCTTTTTAAACTAATGAAAATCGGGAAAAGAGTGGCACACTTCAAACGAATAATTAGGATCTTTACAGAAACACAGAAAAATACCCCAAACAACAAGATTACTGAAATATGGTGTGATAATGGTTTTTCTTTTGTTAATAAGCAAAGGTAGCTCTTACAAAGACACGAAAAGGCTGGTAAAATTCAAATCTAGATTTAAGGGAGGAGCTGCAGAAAGCAACTGAACTAACTTCTGGACAGGAGAGAGGGTTCACTGCAAGAAATCAATTTAAAGACTAGATGCACTTCAGGTCCAGACAAGGCAGGATGATGCTTCATTARCTCTGAGCATTTGCAAGAACCAAAATCAAAGCTTCAAAGGCAATCAAACAAAAGGGTTTAAAAAGTTAGGCTCCAGAAACTGCTTTGAAATTGTATTCAAATACAGCRGCACTCTGAGAAATGTCAATGTCAAAGGCACAAGCAGAATGAGAACTCCAAATATGGCTTGCTCTAGAGAGCAGTTATCAAGACAGAACCTCTGCTGAATAAACCCACAGCCTGTAACACTACATGGTCCGCCTCAGAGTCTGCCTATTCAAGTTTTGCTCCTCGGGTTTGCAAGTATCCTTACCCTGTCCACTTTCTTGGTGGCACAGGTCTGGGTCACTCCTGAGAGCTGCTGGAGCACCGGGCTCGACCAGCCTAGGAGAAAAGGACAACGTGAACCCAGTGGTGAATGCTCTGGATAAAAGAGGAYTCATTGGGCAGAACAGCTCAAAGGAGAATGGCAATCCCTGATGTTCAACCCACGCTGAGTTTCCCTAGCTGCATCCCACCCTCTTGCTGCAATTACTGCATTCCAGAACTCCGTGGGATGTGTATGACAGCACAATCTCCATCTTGAGAGAAAAGAATCTTACCTAAAAATACAGAGTAGCAAAGCGATAGTCCCTCAAACAACAGTGCTATAGCCAGACAAAAAGGGAAGTGAAGGCCTAGATTCAGGGGGACAAAACAAGAGGCAGCATGTGCATGTTAATGCTGGGAACCTTAAGCCAAGATTTGATATTTTAGCAACAGTAAAGAATAAAAGCACATAATGACTGGCAGTGAAAGCAGACAGAGGCAGCACTGAGACGGAGAGGACAGGCAGGCTCTTCCCTACAGGGTTAGGGAGGAATGTGAGTAGGTTGCTGGACACCACCACTGCTGGCTGAGAAACCGATGGTCCCTTATGTCCCAGTCCCATTTGGAAGAGACAAGAGATGAAGATGCTACTTCCTCCCAGGTGTCAGTTTAGTTCACACCAAATTGGGTACTTATAGTTCCAGTTATATCCCAGCCCCTTTCATTTATTTTTATCAACTTTAAACAGAAATTCTCTGTATGGCTTAGATCTTTAGCTCATGTGATATGGCTGGAAACAGTGATACTCACATTTAGGCAGCTCCAGAAAGAAATGAACATAGAGGTTGTCATACTCATAGCCTTGAGCTGAAACTGAGAGCAAGACAATGACCATTCAGCCTCTTGCTTCCACATGAACTTCTCCAGTACTCACTGTAGAGCATGAGAGATGCAGCACCAAGAGTCTAAGGAACAGGCAGGTTCTTCCACACAACAGAGCACAATCCTCTGAGAAAATTCTTTCTCAGGATAAGTCCTGCCCTCATTACAGAAGTCCCATGTTCATTTGTTTTGTTATAATCTATAACAMACAGATCTATGACGTGTATAATGTAAAGATCTATAGTCTGTTCTCCCTTCTTCAGACTTGTTTTTTCACAACAGCTGTCACATTTGCAATCTCCAATCTGCTAATGCAGCACAAGAGATTCATTCACAAAAAAAAAAAAAAAAAAAAAAAGGCAGGATGAGAAAGAGGAGAAGGAGGAGGAAGAACAGGAGGCTAGGGAGAGAATCATCTGCTTAGGACCGGCTTGTGAATCAGGAATCCTTTCCAGCTTTAACCATCCCAGGAGACCCAGTTTTTGCCCCCACAGTGGCTGCTCATAATAAGGACTCACCTATTTCCCCATTCACAAACAGCCGCAGTGCACCAGGAAGTGGCTACAAGAACAAGCAGATAAAGAAGATAAAGAACTTAGTGACTGGTAGAAGCTCAACAATCCCCTCCCAACAGGATGCTACATGAATATTTCATAGCTGCTTCAAGGCTTCATCCTTTGACTTGCTTCCTGCTAGTGAAGGAGGAATTCTGACTTCTTGTATTAGCTCCCCATTATGTCCAGAAGTTACCAGGCTCTCTGGATAGAGTCTCCCTAGAGAGACCAAATTGCCAGGCTGCCGGAGCTCACTAATCTATAAATCAGGTCTTTTACAGTACTCCAGAATGGATAAGACGCAATCTTAAGTCACTTGCAGAAATCACAGTTCCCTTTCCACTGCAGTGCTCCTGCACTAGACCAAAAAAAAAAAAAAACCCAAGCACAGGAAGAGCTGAAACACACTTTTGAAATACAAGGAGTAGAAAAACTTTCACCCATCGGGGAACAAGATTTGAGCAGGAAAGATTCCGTTATGGATAGCCAAGTGAGCAGTGAAAGCATATGTAAATTCTAGCTTAGAAATGGGAGGCCTATTTACTTGAATGGAGCGATACAAAGTCTGGCATTCAAGAAGTTAACAAAAACCACTCTCCTAAAACACAAACTTTCTTCCCTTCTTTCTCAGTTATTCATCTCTCAGTTATTCATCTCTATTACAGAGTCAAAGACCTGCGGGYACTGCATGCACCCTCCCAGGGACTGCAGTGTGCAATATCCTCTGCTGCAGGTCTGACACACGAGCATTGGACCTCCACAGGCTGCAAACCCATGGCACACAGATCCTTTGYGACCAACATGCAGTAAGAAGTCATGCAGTAAGAGTTGCCACCACATCCCCAGAATGAGATAATCTTTGGAGACGGTGCCACAAACAGCAGCTGTGCTAAGCAGGTCTCTAGTCTCCCAAAGATAGGCCCTGGGCGCCCATGGTACTCACCATTTCAAATTCTGAGCCTACAAGGCTGCTGAGATATTCTTTGTGCCGACTATACAGCTGAAAACACAGAAAGAGTAGATTACAAAAGGCATAAAATAAAACCAAATTCAGATGTTGACAGGCAAAGCTAACAGTTTTTCACTTTTAAGAACTAATTTAAAGTTGTTTAATTTTTAAGAATTTAAAAAATTAATTTGTGTGCATCACAATTAGTGATGCAAAACTGCTAACACTTCATAATACTTCAGCTTCTGAAAAGACCTCATCAAAGGCCAATCTAGGGAAAAAAAAAAAAAAAAAGAAACTCCAAAGAATCAGCAGCTCTTAAGACAACGCAGTGCTAAAACCACAAGCACAAACTACTCCACTGATATGAAGGGATGGGAAATCAGTGTGGCTACACTGTGATTTCTTCACTGACCTCAAAGGCAAAAAGGAAGTGAACAAATCCAAAAATGAAAGAGATTAAGAACCTACATAAACTGCCAAAGGCAAAATACAGTTCAGAAAGGTCATGGCACAAAACGAGATCCAACTATCCTGGAACACTAAAGGTAATAAGAAATCGTTCTGTAATTACACATGCAGCAACAGGAAGACGAAGCAAAGAGGTGGCCCCCTACTCAAAACGAAAGGGATTCCATCACCAGGTGACACTAGAAAGACAAAAATTTAGGTGCTTTCTTGCATCAGGCTGGAAACACCAAATGCTGTCAGTGGTCAACGGTGACAAATGGACAAGAGCTTAATCTAGACCAAGGAATGAGGCAGAGTACTCAGGGAGCGGGACTTTTCAGCAGAGTATTGAATGAGTTGGGAGTTTTCAAATTGCTGGGCAAATGAGACTCACCTTCAGTGACATCCATCTTACCTAACTTTAGGTGTCTATAGCACTAATGTTTATGTCTACACGAGGGTCTGAACTCCCTCTGTCAAGCAAGGAGAACAGTGTCAACGAGGGAAGCTGCTCCTTACATCTCTGAAGACACGCTGCTCCCGCTCCGCGTCCTCCTGCTGCACTTGGGCAGACGCGTTCTCAATGGTGTACGTCCACAGCTCTCGCTTCTCTCCATCCAGCTCAATTCTGCAGAGACCCAAAACACACAGGCAAAACTCTAACGTTAGGCAAAGAATAAGCCAGGGCAGCAACGTGATCGACCCCGCCATCGTGCCCCCAGCCTGTGAAGTACCACAAGGGCACTAATGAACCTCTCCTCCCTCCCAAGCGCCTGCCAGCATCAATGGCTCAAAAWGGGTCGCTCACGCCCTGCATACACATAACCTGTATCTTTAGGTGCTGGCTCCACAACCCAGATCACATGCCCAGTGACAATAAGTAGAAGAACACAATGGTTCTTCCATTGTGTTCTTCTGTTCCAGAAGTCCCTGGAACAAAGCTAMAAAATATCCCTCAACTTAAATGCTGGTCTGCTCCCTGAAAGTTGATCGAGGGGATCAATCCTGGCTGGCTGTTTCAACCTCGCTAGTGGTACCAGCCCTACCCCACTCACCGGTAGGCTCCTTTTGTGCCAGTAAAGTCAGGCTTCACTGTGATCACACCATTGCTGTCCACCTTGATAGTGCAAAGCACATGCTCATATTCCCTGTGCCCAAGCCTAATGGAAGAAGGACAAGAAAGACAGAGACAGTCAAAACAGAACTCGTATGTTTTCTTGCTCCGCAACAGCAGAACTAGTAAATGCACATGAAGACACAGAAGGGAACAAACACACTCATGCTTCCCTAGTAGTGCAGAAGCCTTTGGGAAGAGGCTCATTGCCTCACAAACACGATAGGAGAAAGTATCTGGAACTACTAAGTTCTAAGAATTTCCTTCTCTTTACTTATGAAAGATGCAGTGCAGTTGAGTTAGTGCAGGAGATGAGTTTCCATCTGGCAGACACAATCAGTTCAAGATTTTACTTACTTCCCATACGGACCCAAGTCCCCCATGATGTACATGGTCTGAACTGGAGTGTTAATCACATGATTGTTCTTTATGAATTCTTCCGAGGGCTCCCAGGTGATGACTTTCGACTTCAGAGAACTCCCTTCTCTGTCAACAACAGGWCAGCATAACACACATCRGTCAGAAGTCGGACACGACACACCRAAGCTGTCTGGTAGAGACAACAATGAAGGACACAACTGCAGGATGAAAAGTCACAGTGCCAGTTCTGGGCACAGAAGCCAGTTCCTGGAAGGTCTCAGAAGGCAGTTCAAGCTGCCAATTTCCAACACCATGTTCCTTCAGTACGAAGACACCTGCATTAGCAAGCTCTGAGCCCCAGTGTGCACTCACATGGGCCTACGGTCTTGTCTTCTCCTCCTCACTGTGGCCATCCTCTGTGCCAGATACGATGGCACCTCATCATCTGCATCAGTGACTTTCTGGCAGTGCTGGAAGACAAAAACCTGATTTGAACCAGCCTAACTACAACAGGACATCATTCTCAAATAGTCTCCCTCTTGGAGGGAGGTAGTTATACATATACATGCAGGGACAAACTGCTACCAGATTCTAGATTTCATTGACCACTGTTGTGAGCTGAACTCCATCTGGAAAGACCCCTAGAGAACAACTCTACAAAGCTACAAAAGTACCTCCAGGTACCACTGTGCACCTTTCTGCAAGTGATCAGGGCCACCTGGGTCTGGAGCACCAGGTAAACAGACCACTTCTGCCTTGCAAAAGCAGCTTTCACAAGATCTGGCCCACTTCTGCAGGCCTAAGTGACAAAAAATTCCCTTTGCCCTAAAAGAGGCCTGGCCTTGATGCAGACAGTACTGCTGAAACTAGGTGTAGCTAAGAGGTAACAGGTACAAATGGAAACACAGGCAGGTCCATCTCCATGTGAGGAAGAACTTTTTTTTTTTCACTTTTTTGTCACCTTTGGAAGGTGACAGAGCCCTGGCACAGGCTGCCCAGGGAGGTTGTGGAGTCTCCTTCTCTGGAGATCTTCAAAACCTGCCTGGATGCAACTGAGTGCCCCGTGCTCCGGGTGTCCCTGCTGGAGCAGRGGGGTTGGACTGGATGATCCCTAGAGGTCCCTKCCAACCTCAACCACTCTGTGGTTCTGCAAGAGCGGGTACCTCCTCCAGGTTGGTGAATCTGTCATGATCAGTGTACGTGAAGATGCGGTAGTTCTTCCGACCTCCAGCCTTCTCCAACTTCTGGATCTCCTGGTGGTACTGCCGGTCCAGGGGAGTCTGGCAGGCTGACTCATTTTGGTAGAGATCCACCTCAAACTGAGAGCACCACAGATGAAGTGCGAGCGCTGCCCTTCCCGTGCAGGGTCAGCGCCAGTTGTGGTTGTCAAGGACACCAAAGGCAGGCAGATCCTTCAGGAACACCGGCCAAGGGGTCCCGTGGGGCCCTGCCACCGCASCGGGATGGGGAGCCCGCAGCAGCCCCCGGGGGACGCGCAGCGGGCTGGGGACGGGGCTCCGCGGGGCGGCCGGCCAGGAGAGCCCCCTCCCCCGGCCCGCGGGGCCGTCCGCGCGCGCACCTGGCTGAAGAGCTTCTCCTGCCACGCCACGACGGCCTCCTCCTCCTCGTCCGCGGGGCGCCGGGCACCTGCGGGACAGCGGCCGG